TGCTGCTAATGGCAGCAAACTGCGCTGCTTTCCTGGGCCCCTGCAATGGGCCCCTGCTGCCACCAGGGGGAGCTCTAGGCTCAGCTGTCTCCTGGGGGTGGGGGGGGCTGGGACAATGCTGCCTGCCCCCAGGGGGCTGCTTGCGACTGGGGCAGAGCCCATGTCCCCCTGCCCCGGCAGCAGGAGCTCCTGGCCCCGGCTCCCTGATCAGGGGCAAGGGGCTTGAAAAGAGCCGGAGGGGAGGGGCAGGTCCCAGCCCCCTGCCCTGATCTGCGGTGGGACAGCTAGCAGCAAGCCACTGGCTGGGCAGGGATTCCCAGCACCAGCCCCGCGACCAGGGAGTTGGTGCTGGGGGAGGAGGATCTCCCAGTCCCCCATCATGATGGCGAAGTGGAGGCTGGGGGATAAGGATTTCCCAGCCCCTACTCCCCTATGGAGATCTCGGAGCAGGGGGCTTGGAGTTCCCCGCTGCCGGGGTGGCAGGACATCGTCCCTGCCCGGGCTCCTGTGGCGGAGCCTGGAGCAGATTTGCTCCCAGTCAGGCGTCTACACAAGCGCTACTGCGCACTTACTCATCGCAAGTAAATTTGCTATTTGCATTGGCAGGTAGCAAATTTACTCGTGATTAGTGAGGTTTACTGCTCGGTAAGCATGGGCACTTGCTTACTGTGCAGTAAACTATGCTACTTCAAAGTAAAGCAGCTCATGCAGATGCACCCACAGTGGCAGGGAGCGGATGCTGGACGGGAGAGTGAACTGTGTCTGAGCAGGGTTTCTCCGCTATTCCTCTCTCCCTTGCAGCCTCCAGCATTCAAGGTCTGGGATGTTCTGGTTCAGAGGCCATGCCCCTTGCTCCCCCGCTCTGTAGCTAACTCCAAAGCTCGACAGCACTCGAGCTCTGTGACATAGCAAAGAAGCAGCTGGAGGCACTAAGGGAAGGGTGGGTCCAGCCCCCTAAGGTGCCAAATTTCACTCGAGTAATATGGGAGTGAGATTCGGACTGAATTTCCAAGGAAGTGGGTCTCTTTCTGTGTCAGCAGCTGGGGAAGGAGCTGTACCGCTCAGGGAAAAAGGGTACGGGCAGTGCTGCTGTTGGGGACACGGATGCCACCGTGCTATAAATGCCCCCTGACACCGCCCCTCTGCTAGCAGAGCCAGCAGCTCTCGTCTCTGAGTAAAGCGAGCGATTGCATAGGGCAGCAGACAGCTGGTTTGTTGCTGGACTGATAGTCCAGGGTGAGGGGCGGACGTCGTATCTGCCACCAGCCTGCCTAGGGCAAGCGCACAGAAGCACCAAAGCTGGTTACAGTCCGTGGCTGCTTATAGCTACAAGGGCTACGCTCCCTGTTACGGCCGGAGCCCATTGATGCTGCTTCTCGGTGCAGTGGTCCCCAGCAGGACCACCGCAGTCACAATCGCTGCCCTTGCTTTCTCTCTTCTGCACTGACGCCCCCGTCCCCTTCAGGGGTCACAAGTCCTGCATGTCCTTCTCAGACACGGTCTCAGAGGCTCAGGCTGGAGCAGGGCAAGCCACTTCCAAAAGGCTCAGGGAGGAGTGAGCTTTGCTTCCTGGCTCCTCTGTCTTGGCAAGGCTTGGGAAAACCATCAGTGAAGGAGCTGAGCCCAGCCAGCACCTATAACCCCACAGTGGTCTCAGGGCTGAGCTGCGAGGCCATCCATCTACAAGGCTTCAAGGAGAAAGCACCAGGCGAGAGGAAAGGAAATGTGAAAATGCCTGAAAACCCACCAAAGTGATAGGCAGTGTCCAGAGCTCCCAAACCACTGAATCCTGCACCAGTGCTGCCTCTCTAATGGGACAGGTAGCTAATGCCCGGCTGGCGATGAGGGCCTGAAAGCTGTCCTGCAACTCCAACCTGCAGAGGGAAAAATGGAGAGTGTCCTCCGATACTCTTCTTTATGATGGCTATGGAAGGCCAGAAAACTTTTTTAAACGTTTCTTCTATGTGTGTGTGTGTGTGTGTTTCCTATATGTATAATGTATATGTATGTGTGTATATGTGTGTATGTATATCTGTGTATGTGTATATGTATGTGTGTTTACAGTATATATAAATGTACATATACAACCACACAGACACATATACATAGTATATGTATATATATGCAAACACACATACATATATATTATACTATATCTATATAGATGAATTTTTTAAATTAGCTTTCAGGCCTTTCTTAGTCATCATAAAGAAGAGTATAAGAGGACGCCCTTCTTTTTTCCCTGTGCAGGTCATTTTTGAAGGACACATATATTTCTAATACATACATACATACACACACACATATATATACATATATACACACACACGTATACACACACACACACATATATATACATACACATATATACACACACATATACATACACATATATACACACACACACACACACATATACATACATATATACACACACACATATATACATATATATGCATATATATATACACACACATATACATACACACATATATATACACACACACACACATACATACAAATGAAAGAGGCAGCTTGTGTCTGCCCCGCATTGCATGTGTCCTGCCCTCAGCTCGACAGAGCCAAGCGGAGCTCTGCATCTTCCACCCGAGGCCTCCAGGCCAGCTCCTCTTCCAGCTGCGGTGACCAACCATTTATCCCTAAATGTACTATCACGGGTGATCGTCGATACCCGTTTTGAACGCTGTCTTGCGTGGGAGAAGCGCTGCGTAAGCAAGTACAAAGCGACTTCTCTATCCTTATTCCAATCCTCCATTAAAACTCTCCTTTTCTGTGAGCCCTACCAAAACCTTGTGAATGGGTGTGCCACCGTAGAAAAAGAGGGCCGGAAAGGACCTCCAGAGACCTCTTGGAGTCCAGCCCCATGCTCAAGGCAGCATCGGTGTCGTCCAAGGGGTAACGTGGCCCGCTCTGCAAAACTTTTTCGGGGATGGAGCCTCCACCTCCTCGAGGCTATCTGCTCCATCATAGCTCGTGATGAGACCGCTACTTATTACATTGACCACGGTTGTCTCATAGATTCATAGATGTTAGGGTCGGAAGGGACCTCAATAGTGGGGAGACAGAGGAGTACAGGTGCGCTGACTCCTTACCCCTCTCACAAGTTCTCATCCCTCTCTCTGGACGAGAGCCAAGAGCTTCCCTTAGTCCCACGCAGCTGAAGGGCAACGTGGCAGGGCTGACAATTGGT